GTCTCACTATGTTGCGCAGGCTGGTCTTGAACTCCTGGGCTCAAGCACTTCTCCTGCCTCAGCCTCTCAAAGAGCTAGGATTACAGATATGAGCTACTGTGCCTGGCCAAAAACTTAAAAAGAAGGGTTGGAAAATGAAATTAAACAACTGTCCCAGAAAGTAGAACAAAAACACAAAGGGATGAAAAATAAGAAAATTAAAGGATGTTTTCAGGAGATTACAACATTCAGCTAATAGCAGTTTCAGAAAAACTGTGGTAAAAACAGTAAGGAAGAAATAATCAAAGAACTAATACAAGAAAATACACTAAAACTTTATAATATGAATTTTCAAAATGAAGGGGCCCACTGAGTTCCTAAAAATTACTGATAAGAGCATTGCTACAGCACATAATCATAAAATGCAAAAATACTAGTGACAAGGAAAAAAGACAATAATTTCCAAAAAGAAAAAAAGACTACATTTAAAGTCTTGATAAGCAGAATACCATCAACTTCTCAAGCAGTAATGTATGGCCATAGTGACAATGAAGAAATGCCTTATAAAATGCTGAGAAAATGTGACTTATTTCTTGGAATTTTGTGCCTAAATAAATAAGCAATCAAAGGTGGAATGAATGAATGTATGGGTTTGCCCGTGTGTGTGTGTGTGTGTGTGTGTGTGTGTGTGTGTGTGAGAGTGAGAGAGAAACAAGGTAAGCCAGAGACACATTCCAACCTTCTTTTTTACTCACAGAACTGTTTTGTTTGAAGAACCAATGTACATAGTTAAAAATATTTACTTTTCTAGTATTCTGTACAAGCTAGCAGTGGCCCTGTGTCACAGTCTAGCCAATGATATCTAAGACAAAATCTACCAAAAAGGCTTGTGGAAACATTATTTTCCTGATGAAAATAGATTTGACTGGTTCTGCCTTTTGTCCTTTCTGCTGTATTACTGCCTGGAATGCAGATATGATGCCACAAGTTACAGCAGCTATCATGAGACCACGAAGAAGTAAGCATAAAGGCAAAAGTCAATATCTAAGCAGCACAGATAGAAATAAAAGAAAGAATGTGCTTGTGTCCCCGATCACATAATTGACCTGCCACACCGGTTAGACCAGCCACCAAACTTCTTACTTTGCAACTGCTTGTAAAGAATACAAGCTTGTAAAAATTGCTGGTTTCAAGTTTCTTTTTGTTATTTGCAGCTGAAAGCATCCCTGATACATTCACAAGTTATAAAAAAAAAAAAAAATTGTATCTCCCCAACACCCTTCCTCAGGAAGTTACTGGAAAATATGCCCACAGAAATGAGGGATGAACTAATAAATAGTTATGGTGCTCAGAATGTAGGTGATTCAACACAGGAAGGATGCAAGAGGAATTCTTAGCATCTTGGTAATACGGGTAGTCCTCAAACAACAGCTGTAATTTATGCCTAAAAAGTAACCAAATCATATTGGAACAGGAGGAGGAAGGGCTCCAGGAAAAATGACGTCAAAAAAAAAAATCATGGCTTAGATTGCCTGATGTGTTTGATCATATGGAAAGGAGCTTGATAGTTCTTCCAGAAAGTGTGGAGGTAAATAGAGGTTGTGTAGTGGATGAGAAAAAACAAAAACCAAGTATTTCCCCTACTCTCTCTCTCAGAACTGAATGTTTCACCTCTAATCAAATGTGTGGGAATTTCTTCCCACCAACCACTAATTTTTCAATGGACATCAACTGGGTATCCTACAATTTAACCCTATTCCAGAGAAAGCACCAAATCACACAGGTTCAGGGCTCAGTCCCACAAGACTGCCCCCCAATGCCAGATGCCAATCACAAGTAGTAGATTGTCACACCTATACTTCTGATCAACTAGCTATAAATTGGGGGTCCCACAACCCCCTTCTCAGGTTTGGTTAATTTGTTAGGTTAGCTCACAGAATCCCAGAAAACACTTGCTTATATTTACCAGTTTATTATATTAATGAAAGATGTAATTAAGGACACAGATGAACAGCAGTTGCAAGAGATGCAAAGGGCAGAGAATGTGGAAAGGGATACAGAGCTTCTATGCCCTCCCTAGAAGCACCACCCTCCAGAAATTTTGATTTGCTCAGCAATCTGGAAATTCTACAAACCTTGTCCTTTGGAGAATTTATGGAGGCCTAATTACATAGGTGTGATTAATTACACCACTGGCGATCAAGTCAACCTTCAATTCCTCTCCCCTCCCTGGAGGTTGCCAGGGGAGAGACATTGAAAGTCCTGACTTCCATCATGCCTTGGTAAGCTGATTAGCATACAAAAGACACTCTTAATACCCCAGAAATTCCAAGGATTTTAGGAGTTCTGTGCCAGGAACCAGGAGCAGAAGCCAAATATACATTTCATATTATATCACAATATTACAGCTTGGTGCACAGAAAATAAAGCAAACAAAAATCAAAACAAGGCAATTATTAACTCTAGGAAAAGCAGAAAGTTACAAGAGGGATGAAATGCCATAAAACACTGCATGGCAAAACAGTGAAAAGTATTTGCAAAGTCTTCTTAGTGCAAACATTGATTATTATTTTTTTTTAATGATGGCACTACTATATTGGGAAGTTGAAAAGAAGAGAAGGCAGTATGTCTGGAGTAGCGTGAGCAAGGGGAGAATGGTAAGAAAGGGGATCAGAAAGGAAAACAGGAATTAGGTCATGCTGAGGTTTGGATTTTCTTTCCGAAGGGTGATAGCCACTGGGGAGTTTCAGACAGGAAACTTGAATTATCTAACTCATGATTGAAAATAACAACTTTGGCTCTGTTGTGGAGGCGAATATGCCGTGCAGGGATAAGTGAAAGGCCAGGAGGCCAGCTGGGTAAGATGGATAAGCGGCTTCCGCAGAAGAGATTTTTCCTATAAGGTGGCCTGGACTGGGAGAGGCATACTTTGGAGTGTAAGGAAGTGGGTAGATGGGAATACCTTCAGGAGGTTGGTGGCTTATGGAGTAAAAAGGGAGACGCCAGGATGACTTCCTACCTGTTAGCACAAGGCATCTGGAGAAGGCAGAGGAGGTTGTTACTGAGTTTGGGAAGACTGGGGAAGGAATGATTTGCAACTAGTGAGTTTGGGATCTAGGGTTCTGCTTTGGACTTGTTAGGCTGAGTTGCCTCAGAAGGTACCAAGTAGGCAACTGTGCCAGGGCTCAGGGTACAGACAAGCCTAGGAACAAACTCAGAATATGCTCAGTCGCAACAAGTAGCAATTCCTCCTTCTATTTTGCCAAGGTAAAGAAATGTTTCATTATATGTTTGGAGCTTTAAACAGCCTCAGTGGTATGATTTGGGGCACTGATGATTGAAGACTTGATACTGAGAGTCTAAGGGTAAACAAGCAGTGAATCCTGGAATAGGTCACAATAGGTAATCCATTCAAAGTGCTTATGCCTCCCTGCATAAGGTTTTCTATTTTGGGTCATATCTATCTTAAGGAAAAACTCTCTCCACCAAAGCTGAAGTCATAAAATAGTAAAAGTCCTCCCCACGACACACACCCAAGAAATAATTTCCCATTATTAGCCGGATTTAACAAACATTTTAAATTGATTTAATAAACACACACCCAAGAAATGATTTCCCATTATTAGTTGGATTTAATAAACATTTTCCCCTAAAAAAAAAAAGTTTGTCCCTGATCAGTAGACTTTATGTGTACAAAGCCCGTGCCAAGTTAAAGGCCACGTCAGGCACACTTTGAGACACTTTCTGTTTTTTAAAAAGTTCTTTCTCAATAAACATTCAAAAGGGCCAATTTGTATAAAAGTCTTTCAAAGCAAAATTCACTACAGGTCATTGAGTTCTTTAAACCCTCAGCACTATTCTTTCTTGACTTTCTCATTGCATTGTGCAATCTTTGCATTTAATCGTTAATCCCCAAATTGGTGTTCCCCGTGTGGATTTTAACAAGAACTGGGTTTTAGCCACATTACAGTAGACGCGGTGGGGGTGGAGGGCAGCAGTGGCAATCGCAAAATAAAACGTATCATAAAGTGGTAACGGCTCGTGATTGAGGCCAGTTGTTGAAAAATAAATGCCTGTTATATAGAATCATAGAAATTTAGAGCTTGGGGCCAAGGCGAGTCGTTCATCCGTGGACCGACAGCGCCCCAGGCGGCAGAAAGAAGACGGCGGCGGCGACCGGGGGAAGCTCCCGGATTTTTAAAAAGGCACCTGCTGGGTGAGCCCTCACTGTGCAAACGGGATCCACAGGTGCCCGGTTTTAAGAGGATATAACTCGGGAAAATCTAAGCCTGCAAAACAACCATAAGATCCTCATATTAAACTCCTAAATAAGTTTTCGCTTTACACCAAGTTGATGTGGGTGGTAATTCACCGCAGGGAAACTGAGTGGAGGGAGGACGCAGAATTCGGCTGAAGTTTGCCCGCGACTGACAGGGAGTGACCTGGAAATCAGGAATAGCGGAGTGGGGGTGGGTAGGAAACTAATGAAGTAGCTAAGAGAGTCCGTTTATGAAAATAGAGCCCGCGGTGGAGCGCAGCAGGCACACCTGCGGAGAAGGGGGCTGCCTCACCTGCGGGGCCGCTGCGCGCCCACCCCAAGCGTGTAAGCGGGGAAGGCGGGGGCTGGCCCGGAGCCTGGAGTGGGGGTATCACTGTGGGACAGGGCCAGCAAGAGGACCCGACACGCATCGTCCCGAGCGACACGTGTAATTGTCAAGAAACAGAGACAACTGCAAATGTCACCCAGGAGGGTGTGGACGGGGGAGCGGTCCCGAGGCTGTGCCCGCCGAGGCAGGCACTGGTCCCCATGGGGCTGCGGGCCATGTGTCCCCCTTCCCCGGGGAACTGGTACCTGGGAGGGGGTCGGTATCGCCGCGCTGGAAGCGCGAGCCCGGGGGACTCGGGAGATGCGCCCTGGCGCGCCGCCCCTCAGGGCAGCCCCGGACTTCGGCGCGCTCGGGCGCAGCGTGTGTGTCCCCGGCGAGGCGGGCAGAGCCAGCCGCCCGGGCTCCGCGACTTACCTCGGGCCTCGCGGGGCGCGAGCAGAGCCCCGGCCAGGGCGAGCAGGAGGGCGCGGGCGGGGGGCGCGGGCGGCGGGCGCGCTGCCATGGTCGCCGGCTTTCTGTGCAGCAGCTCTTGGGCCCGGCAGCGAGCGCTGCAGCATCCCACGCGGGCGCCGAGCCGGGGCCGGGCGTCGCGACCGGAGGGATTTCCTGCCGCGGAGAGTCAGCTCCGGAGCCCTCGCGCAGCGCCCGCGCCGCCGCTGAGCTCGTCTAGCCTTTCATTTTAAAAAAGTTTGCCCCCGTGTGTGCGTGCGCGCGCGCGCGCCGTTCTGGCACACGCCAGCCTTGACCGTTGCAATAAATGAGCAAACTGTCCGAGTTGGCCCGGGGACGAGGAAGAGCGTTAGTGAGAGAAGGCCGGACTGTGGAATGGATCCGCGGCCAGCAGTCACCGTTCTCATTACCACGGAACAAATTATGTCTCCCCCGCACCCCCGCCCGTCGGCGGCGTCCCGCGGGTCCTAGAGACCGCTCGGGTCGCCCCGCCAGGGTCCCGCCCCGAGCCGCGGCTCGCTCAGACCCGGGGGTGGGCGGCTTGGGGCAGGGCGCCTCCCTGGCCGCGCGCACCGGCGGCATAGACGTGGCTTGGTGGCGGCCGGGCGCCCGGAGCGCACACGTCCCCGCCCCAGGATGATGTGGCCGCAGGGCCCGGGGCGCCCGGCTGCCAAGAGCACACGCGGCGGCACGGTCCAGCTTTCCAGTCTGAAGCTGGAAACGATGACTCGGCGGCTCGCTCCCTGGCTAGCCGGGAACCCTCGGAGTGCGGGTCGGGTCTCCACAGCGGCCGACAGCCCGGCGCGCGCCCCCCGTCCTGCCCTAAGTGTCCAACGGGGCATCTCGCGCCCCGGAAGCAAGTCTGGACTCAGGCACAAAGCACCTGGGCGTTCCTTTTGATCTGCAGTGTCAGGCTTTAGGTTGATAGATTGGCTGTTTCCTTTCCAGGACCTGGACCCAGAAAAGGGAGTACAGTGACTTTTCCCGAAGTTTCCTGATTGTAAGAAGCACCTGGCTTGGCTTGCTAAAAAGATCCCCGGGCGCACTCCTACGCTTTCAGAATGAGACTCTCCAGGCTCTGAAGCCAGGGGAGCCCAGGGTGTTTGGAGAAACACCAAGGAAAGAATGGTGGGCCTTGCCTTCTCATCCTAGTTCCGGGCTGACCTCGCCTCTTCAGCCTGGCTTGGCCACCAAAAGCAGCAACGAGGAGGCCGCACAGACAAAAATGGCTGCAGCTATGGAGGATGGCTGATGCCCACCTTGACGGCGACCATGATTCCCAACCTTGGGGACTTATTAGAATAGTAAGAAATAAAGACAGTGCCACCCCCAGAGACCAGTTAACTCACAATTTCCTACAATGCGTGGAGCTCAATAGTTTCCAAAGCCTCAGGTGATTCTACTGTGCTGCTCAGACCTAGAACCACCTGCAGAAATTCCATCCTAGTCCTGCGAGCTCTCACCGGTTCCTAACTGAGCACTCACTCCTACGAGGCCGTTACCCAGGCTTTGAAGAAGCTGCCTTCCATACCATGTCTTCCTACTGCAGAGGAGCTTTTCTCAGGATTTCTCTCCCACCGCCAGTTTTGCAGTGTTCCCAAAGACCGGGTCGAACCTCCTAACAAGGCGCAGTGCTTTTTAAAAATTTTATTTTTTAAACCTTAGTGGGAAGCACGGGCTCCCACGCTCTTCCCAATGCTGCCATATCTGGAAACCAGGCCTGGTTCAAGCCCTGGGTCATATCTAACTGTACTACCAATCAGCTTTGCAGTGTCCTTTTTTTCATTCATTGATTCAGTCAATTAACATGAGCAACACTATGTTAGGGACTTGGGAAACTAATGAGAAATCCTCTTGTTTTCAAAGACTTTTCTTTCTGAACAAACTGATAAATCATTATTGGACAGTGTGAGCAGGTTACTTAACCTATTTAATAATTAGGCTTGTTTATTGCTATGGTTCGGCTGTGTCTCCACCCAAATCTCACCTTGAATTCCCACGTGTGTGCAATTGAAGGACCTGGTGGGAGGTAATTGAATCACGGAGGCAAGTCTTTCCCGTGCTGTTCTCATGGTAGTGAATAAGTCTCACAAGACCTGATGGTTTTAAAAAGAGGAGTTTCCCCTGCACAAGCTCTCTCTCTCTGCCTGCTGCCACCTATGTACGATGTGACTTGCCCCTCCTTGTGTTCTGCCATGATTGTGAGGCCTCCCTAGCCATGTGGAACCATAAGTTCATTAAACCTTTTTCCTGAATAATTACCCAGTCTTGTATATGTCTTTATCAGCAGCATGAAAATGGACTAATACATTTGCTACTTCATAAATCATTACATACTTTGTATAATTGAGTACTGTGCTAATGTCTTTCACCTGCATTATTTCATTTTTAAAATCCTGAATATACAGATGAGGAAACTGCAGTATACAGAGACAGAGCTTTCCCACCACCACACAGCAAAGTAGGTCAGAGCCCAACCTCAGATGTGTTAAAGATACCGCCTGTTTCTTTAACCCTGAGTTCCAAGCTTCAGTTTTAGCATCTGTTAAGTGAAGGCAAAAATACAAACCTCCTAGGTGGTTGTGAGCATGAGATGAACTAATGCAATGTCCCCCAACCTACCTGATCCCTGGGATGTTTGTTAAGAACTCAATTCCTCTGGCATTTGCATTGGAGATTCTCATTAGAAACGTCTGGGAAGGACAGTTTTAGCAAGTACTTAGGTGAACCTGATACTTGTGGCCTATAGAACTTCAGACACATTGAGGCAGAAGGATCCAAAATTGTTTCCTTTGAGCTCAAAGGGCCAGATCTGCTTGCAGATGAGCCCAGCCACTGGCCCCTTGAATCCTTCTGGCTGGTTACATGGTTTATTCAAAATGGACCTAATATGTGCTGTGCACTGGGCTTGGGCCCTTGTATACGTTTTCTCTTAATGATCAATTTCTTTTTGCTCTTCAATATTCAGTTGTTAATCTTGACTGCAAAAGTCCAATTTCTTTTAAACCTGGAAGTTGCAAAGCTTTCTCCAAAGAACTAAATGTACCCCAAGACTGTCCTTGATTTATTTTTCACTGAATGAAACCAAACAGCCATTGCAGGGGAAAAATAAAGAAAAATAAAATCCCAGCCACAAGCCCTGGATTTCAACCCTGTAATTAACCATCTCTGTGAAGCAAGGGGCCTGGGCTGACACCGTCTCCATAAAGCCTTCATACACATCAATAACAGCCAGCTAAGGCAAAGAGCAAATCCTGCGTCCGGCAGATGGTCTGCCTTTGGATGGAAATTCTGCCTCCTCATTCACAGGAAATGGAAGCTGACATCACATTCAATACTGGATTGTTAGGCAATGGTGTGGGGTCAGAGGCCAAGATCTGCACATGAACATTTCAGATAGATGGCTTGTTGTCCCTTCCTTTCTGGAAGAATTGACCTTTGCAATACTGTTTCCTGTGTGCTATTTTTGTTTAACAGCCTGGGCATTCACAACGAACAGGGCACTTATTTCTTACCCAAGCTCCTGTAAGCTCAATCTGCTCTGAGTACAAGCAGATGAAAAATGGAGGCAAACTTTCCCAAGCTAGGAATTTACAGGCAGCCACTCCTAGTTTCTGCAGTAAGTGAAGAGCCGGCCTCCTTACAGCGTGACCTGTTGACAGACCTTCAGACACAGGCTTGCAGAACAGCCTTTATCTCTCCAAGTACAGCTCCCAAGCCTTACTCCAAAGGTAAACAAATGCAGTCGCCCCAAGATCAAGATTCTTGGAAATCATTTTAATTCCATCTCTTGGAGAGATGAAAACTCCCGCTCCTCTCGGCATATTATAATAACATGTGGTCGATTTTTCTTCTCCTAGACCTCCCACTTCAAGAATTCATGCCTTCACCTCCTCAGACACCTGCCCCCAATGAACCTCTTCTGGGCAGATTAAACCCTCTCGTCTCTGATGCTTTCATTAGTGCACAGAATCAGCACTTAAGTAGCCAATCTAAATGCCAAAGAAAGAATGCTCCTGGGACCGGAGGCAAGGAACTTGGGGATGCTCTGTGTCACAAGAGACAGGAAAGGCCATCCCATCTATATTCATCTATGTCACCTGCCCATTGACCATTCAACTTCTCCAACCAAGTGACAGTCATACTAAACAATGACACCTTCTAAGAAAGGCATCGTTAGACAGCTTTGTCACTGAGTGAACATCACAGAGTGTACTCACACAAATCTAGATGGTACAGCCTACTACACATCCAGGTTACATGGTAAAGCTCCTAGGCTACAAACCTGCACGGCACATGACTCCACTGAATACCATAGGCAATGGTACAGTAAAAAGGCAGAAAGGTACAGTAAAAATTCAGTGGAAAAGATTAAGGAAAAAAAGGTACACCCGGATAGGGAAGCTCCGTTTTAATTGTATGGGAGCATCCTGACAAGTGCTCAAGGGTGTACTATGTGATTGACCAAAACGTCATTAGGTGACTCATGACCGTGCCGTGATGGGGAGCTTATGCCCCTCCCTACACACCCCCAGATCCCATTTTATGTACCCCAAGTGACTGACAGCACTAAGAGAAACAGGCACCTCCTGGAGCAGCAGCTGCTAAGACAGCCTCTGGCCCAGGTTCTCATCTCTCCCACCATCAGCAGGGGCAGGCTGAGTGCAAAGGCAGCACTCAGAGAAAGGCAAATGGGAATCTCAAAAGCAAACATGAGCAATGACAAGAATGACCAAGCATTTGAGGATACTTCGTTTAAGAAAAAGAGCCTAATCCCCTCTCCTTCTCATGTGGGCTGGGCTTAGTGACTCATTCTTTTTTTTTTCCCGGTAACTTTTGGGGTACAAGTGGTTTTTGGTTACATGGGTGAATTCTGGAGTGGTGAATTCTGAGACTTTGGTGCACCTGTCAACAGAGCAGTATATGTTGTTCCTAATGTGTAGTTTATGTTATCCCTGATGCCCCTCTGCCCTTCCCCTTCTGAGTCTTCAGATTCCATTATACAACTCTGTATGCCTTTGCATACTCATAGCTTAGCTCCTACTTATAAGAACATATGGCATTTGGTTTTCCATTCTTGAGTTACTTCACTTAGAATAATGGCCTCCAGCTCCCTCCACGTTGCTGTAAAAGATGTGATTTTTTTCTTTTTTATGGCTGAGTAGTAGTCCATAGTGTGTATATGCCACGTTTTCTTTACGAACTCAGTGGTTAACGGGCACTTAGATGGGTTCCATATCTTTGCAGTTGTGAATTAGCAACTCATTCTAACCAAACTCAGCCTAAGTGAGCAGTGTGTGAGTTCTGAGGCTAAATCGTGAAAGGCACTTCAGCTTCCTCCTTGACTCAGGCTGCTTACTGTGGACGCAACCAGCTGCCATGTTGTGGGGAGCCCCCAACAGCCCAGTGGAGTAGATCTAAGGTGAAGAATGAGATTTCCTGCCAATAGCCTTGTGAGTTAGCTGTGTTGGAAGTGGGTCATTCAGCCTGTTGTTTTTAGATGACAGCAGCCTTATGAGACCCCAAGGCAGAACCATTCAGCTAAGCTGCTCCCAAATTCCTGACCCACAGACACCCCATGAGATAATGAATGTTGTTTTGAGCCATGACTTTGGGGAATAACTTTTTACACAGAAATAATTGTTATACATTTAATAAGGCGAACATTCCATTTCTAGATATTTTTCTAGCTTCCAAAATGTCTTGATAATTTTAATATGAAGGTCATCCTTCTTGTTTATCAGCTTTGAATACAAGGTGTAGACAGGGTGGCCATGGGTCCCAGTTTTGTCCTACTGTACTTATCAACAGTAGCCGCTTTCACTCACTAGAGTCCTGATTTGCCAACGGAGCACGCAGTTATTCTATCTGTAGATAAATATGTCTTTTGTGCTGTGTCTTGTGGGCAGGAGGGATGGGCAGGCACACATGCTTGGTTGTACATCTTGACTTGACTCCTTCCATGAAGGATGGTTGACTGAGTGACTGAGCTTGCAGTCATGGGTACCAGGCCACAGCACCCAAAGCAAAACTGGCTCAGGCCATGAAGATTCACAAGGCTCTCTGAGTATCTCCCCTGCATGGTTAGCCGGTCACACAGTGATCTGACCTGGACTGCTGTTTCTGGAAGTTGTAGACATTTTTTCACTGGTTGCCAAAGAACCTGGGGCTCTGCTGGTAGCTGTATCTTGAATGCATCAAAGAGAAGATGTGATGAAAGGTCATGCTTGCTCTTGCTCTTGGAGAGAATCTCCAGAGGAAGCAAAGCTACCCCCACCACCCAGGCTGGCCACTCATCCATCAGGTTTCTGTTCCTGCAAGGGTGCATGGGCTCCCAGAAGCCAGGAGGGCTGGGGTTTTTGGAGGCTGGGGGAGGACTCCAGGGTGCTCTGGGGACAAGTCTTGGCCTCCCTATCTAATCTCTAGCAGGTTTCTTCCTAGGGAGAGAGGCCAGACCTACTTTATAATAACTGCAGGAAAAACCATCTCAAGACCTGCATGCCTTATTGAAACTCCATCTTTACCTAATCTCTCTTGTGGCAAATTAGGCCCTTTGCCTCTTATTCTGTGCCCTTGAAATTGGCAAATAACTGGACACTGGTCCCACCTCGTGTACTTGAATACAGTTCCCATTTTGTCTTTACTATTTCAGGCAAATCAACCCCAATTTCGTTAATGTACCCCTTGGGTCCTATTCTCACTCTTTCTAATCATGTTTGTTGCTCTCCTTTGGAACCTCTCCAGTTTCTTGATTTCTCTTAAACTGTGGAGGCCAAATGTGGCTACAGAGTTCCAAGAAGGGTCTACATGAAGCCAAGGGAAGCAGAGCACTGGCTGATTGCACCTAGTGGGGTCTCTCTGCAGCTGAGACTTTTAACTCCTTTTTGGAGACGTGACCTAGTTTCTACTTTGAGGATGAAGAAGCGATTCTGGGTCTGGGAAGGCCAGCTGCTCTGAGAGTGGGGTGGCTGACCCTGTCCCAAGCCTCACATGTGGTGCGTGTGGGCCCCTCCTTCACCATAGTTACTTCAGTCCACTTCTCAGGTCTGTTTTCTCTGCTGCTTTAGTTTCTCTCATTTCTGCATCCTGGTGAGCACTTTTATCCAGGGCTCCCTTCTCCCATTAACTCCTCAATGAACTCAGGCAGAAGAGACAACTTAGAAGTGCCAGGGCCTGGGGTCAATTGCTGTTCCTCCTACGCTAAGCTCTGGTCTGGATTCTAATGCAGCTTTAAATTTTTAGCAGTTATCAAGCATTTGAAATTTTCAGCTCCATCAGACCCTGGGCCAGCAGCACCCCACTGCTGCAAGTCCGCTGATGCTGCTGAGTGAAGGAAATATCCCACTGCCTCCCTGGATAGAAACTCCAGATTCCTTTCCCCTAATATCCCTAAGCCATACTTATAATGTTCCAGCTTTCTTTGTCTTAGGCTGGGCTGAAAAATGAAGAACCAATAGTTGAGGAAGTGTCCCCATAGATTAAGGACACAGATGCAGATCCTGCCTTCAAAGACCTCCTGGTCTTGTGTTACAGAGAAGGGCTTTGAGTTTATCTAAAAGAATTATGGCAGGGTCTACCAGCAGCCACCCTGTCCTAGGCCTCCAAGATCTCATCAACCCTCATGGAGACAGTTAACTACTCTTCCTTTTTTGAGAGGAAATGGTGCCTTTGAAAAGTGGCTTGCCCATGAACACAAAACTCAAAACTGGTCCAACTGGGGTTGGAGGCTGGGTCTGTTTGACCCCAAAGATCTTCCATTTCATCTTCTCTCTGCCAATGCTGGCCCAAAACTTGAGTCATCTTTGGCCCCTTCCTTTCTCTCTACCTGAACCATGCCCTTCTTACTGGGCATCAAGTCCTATGCGTGCCACCTCGGAAACCCCCTGGCTCTCCCCCTTCCACACAGTCCCCCAGGGTAGAGAACCATGGTGCCTCCCCTCAAAGACAGGGACAGGGTCCTGGGGCTTGTTCTTCTGTCACTCCAGCTACTGCTCCTGCAAAGGCACTTTTAAAATGGAAATCTGACAAAATGTTCACGGTTCTTCATTGCCTTCAGAAATATATTGAATCTATTTCACAAGGAACAAAAGGCTATCTGGGGTGGATCCTGATCTGGTTTGGCTGTGTCCCCACCCAAATCTCATCTTGAATTGTAGCTCCCGTAATCCCCACATGTCATGGGAGGGACTCAGTGGGAAGTAATTGAATCATGGTGGTGGGTTTTTCCCGTACGTTCTCAAGATAGTGAATAAGTCTCAAGAGATCCGATGGTTTTATAAAAGGCAGTTCCCCTGTACGCATACTGTCTTGCGTTTGTTCCTCATTCACCCTCCACCATGATTGTGAGGGCTCCCAGCCATGTGAAACTGAGTCCATTAAACCTCTTTCCCTCATAAATTACCCAGTCTTGGGTATGTCTTTATTTAGCAGTGTGAGAATGGTCTAATACAGACCACAATCAGCACTCCCAGGCTCCTCTCTTTCCTGCCACCTGACACAGCCCCATCCTCTAGTCACATGGCACCACCTGACTTTTGCAAAATGTTGATCACATTGTGATTTTCCATGTGCTTCTCCCACTGTGTGAATGCCTTCTTCTTCCGCTCCATAGCAGATCTATCCTTCAAGGTCCAGAGTGGCACCATTTCCTCTGTGATGCCTTCTCTGCCTCTTCAAGGAAAATGAACATTTCCTTTCTGTGCTCCCGCAGATCTGTGTATCCGCTGATAGCATGAGGCTTAATGCTTGGTGGTATAATTATTGCTGTGCAAGACTGTCTGCCTTTTGAGACACGGATTGCCATGAAGGTAACCCCATCTTGCTCACTTTTATATCTGATATGTCCATGCCCAGCCCAGTGCCTAGGAAAGAGAAGGCACGGGAATTTCTGGTTAAAGGGATAAATTGAACCAGTGTGTGACCATGCTCTCATCTGGGTCTTTAGGAATTTTTCTCTGTATATAGTTTTCCAATGCAGGCTTAAGAAGAGAGATTCCATGTAAGTGTATTTATTGCTGAGGTTCAAGACAATAAGTGGACAATATTTCGTTTCTTTCATAAATCATTTTTCCAATAACCTCCCTAATTATTTCAGTTAAGGCTCATTACCCTTGCAAATCAAGTTTGAACTGATTTTCACAGAGCTAGCAATCTGTACTGGGACAAGTTTTATTTTTGAAAATCAAAGATTTTCAACTAAGTCTGTTACTTCTGGTACTATTTTAAAATTTAATAGAAACAAAATAAAACTCTTTTAAGGCTCTAAACAACCTCAAACTGTGTTTTGTTCTAGTAATAAGACAATACATAAGGACTGTGGTTAGTTGGAGATTATTTCCAACAATGGAAAAAATAAATATGAGCATGAGTCAGAATAATTTGAAACCAGAAATGTGTGTTGGTAATAACTCAGAAAGTCACATGGAAGAGCCTCGGTCACAACACCAGATTTGATGGCTTTTCAAAAATTACAATCTCATATATTAGAGAGCCCCTTCCACCTGGTAGGGTGCCAAGAGTTCTTACAAAATCGAGTCTTGGGAAATCAAAATCCTGCACCATCAGGAAAATGCTGTCTCTGTTGGGGGTAACATGTAGACAGTCTCGCTCATGGAAAAGTGGCCCCCAGTGACGAGGACACCACAGTGTCATTACAGGGGAGACTGTGGAATCAGGTACGAGCTAGTCCTGCAGCCTGAGCCTTTTAGGCACGTTTCCAGCAGCAGAGAGGGAACTGCAGCATCACTCTGGGTTGGAACAGGGGTTGCTGAATAGGATTCCATGTCCATTTCCACTGCACTGAAATACCAGAAGCGTGACCCAATAATGTGGTTTTGTTCTTCAACACCAGTGCTTATTCACCTACCCAGGGAGCGGGGAAAGTATCCTTCTTATTCATCCCCAAGAAAGAATGTTGCCCTCAATCCCATGCTGGGCTTGTGGATGACATCACGCTTAAATCTGCCACTTGGTCCTGATGACCAGCAGCCATGATCTCTGTCCTGGAAAAAGAAAATGCAGGCAGCAATGGTACTGCAGAGTGTCTGGCATCACCTCTGTGCCCCAAATGGTCCTCTAGGACTTAGCAGAACTGGCACCAGAGGTGTAAACATGAAATCTTTCTAGAGCTGAACCCTATTTCCTCCTTCTGCCTAGATTTATGGCAATTGACCTATTTTATAACTCTCTTACTGACCTACTTTCAAATCCTATTTTGGAAAGTGACACAAAACTCTTTTGTATCCCTGCAAAAAAAGAAGAGGCTAAAACACACACATAGGCACTCATGAACACTTACACGTGCAGAAATCAAGGCTGGAGTAATTTTCCAGAAAGGAGCTTTGTTTTCCGTCACCAAAAAAATAAAAAAAAACAAGATATAAATTCACCAGAAAGTACTTTAAAAAGTGTCAACGATACTTTAAAACTATATATATATATATATATATATATATATATATGTATATATTCAAAACGAATATGTATAATATAATTTGTTAGATGCTTATTTTCTGGTAAAATACCTGCAGGGTAATGTCAATGCATGTTGGTAGAAAGCCTCATTTTATAAACAGAAACCAGGCAATTTTTGTATGAGTCATGGTAGATTTAGATGCAAATGGCTAAAAGTCTCCTCCTGCTTAGTGTCACTTTAATCAGGGGTTGCATATCTGAGCTGTAACCCCATAGTAAACTGGAATAATAAAAATGACCTATCTGTTTTACAAGGGAGCTATGCTCTGGTTAGCAAATGACCCGACATGGATCCTCCTCCCAAGCTTGGATTATAAGCCTGCCCCACAAGATGCTATGATAATGGCAATTATCATTGAAGTAGCACTTATTACAGCCAAACACTTCACATATGTTATTTATAAGCTTCCCTATTGCCCTATGAAGTATATTTCAGTTTTGCAGATGAAATAAAAATTAAGGCTCAGTGATATTAAATAAATTAATCAAAACCTTAAAACTAGTAATTCCCAAACTAGGACTCAAACACAGGACTGCCTATTTTAGAGTCTACATTTTCTTTCTATAAAATAGAGTGCTCTTGTAAAAGTCAATTCTACCCAAATGTGTACTTAAATCCTGTGATTATCCTACCACTAGTAAGCCACTTGGTTTCTGTCATTTACTGCCCACAGAATGGGACTTCTCTTTAGCATTGATCAATCTGTAGGTTGATTGAAAATGGAAAGGTACAGAATACAATGTGGTATCCTGGACTGGCTCCTGGAACAGAAAAAAGAATTAGTGAAAAAAAAAAACAAAACAGTGAAATCTGAATATAGTCTGGAGTTTAGTTAATAGCAATATACTAATGTTGGTTTCTTAGTTTTGAAAAATGTACCATGTTATTTTAGATGCTGACAATCAGGGAGGCTGGGTAAAGGATATGGGAGACCTCTCTGTACTGACTTTGCAACATTTATGTAAATCCAGAATTATTCCAAAACTTAAAAGGGGGAATAAATACTAGTTCTCTTGTGGTGGCTGATTGTCCAGGCAGTTCAAATCAAGATTTGCTCTAGGTAGTATTTACTGCAGGCAGAATAGACACGTGGAGTAGCATTTTCCAATTACACATCTATGCATTAGCACTAACAAATTTATTTAAAACTGTGACCGAATGCACTGTCCTTATGTATTTTCTTAATCATTGAACGCCAAGAATGAAACTACTATTCAGTATAAAAATGGCTGACAATATAAAATGGTCTCAAAAGCTAAGTGGTCAAAAGTACATAGAATATGTAATATAATAAAAGTATATATAGTACAGCATTTATCCAGGAAGTTGTGATACCAATATATGTGTGTGGGTATCGCATTATACATGTACTGTTAATATATTGATTTTAAAGGAAAAGATAAACCATACGTATTTTTAAAAATTATATAAGGGGATGAAGAGATATGACAGAAAAGGTGTAGGTCAAATATCTCAAAATATACTTTGGTTTGTAGATTTGATTTTGAAACCACATAAATATTTTTATATAATGGTGAAAAAATTGAAATATTTAAAAAGTCAGTTCCTAAACATCAAAACTGAAATGGAACAAATAAACATAACTATATATTGATTTGTGGCATGTCCACAAAGAAAGAGACAAATTCATGTGACTTAAAAACATTAATTTCATGTACATCCTTAGTAAGACATACCCTAAAAACAAAAGGAACAGAAAAAAGAAAAAATAACTCTAATTGTCATTAACAAATCATATTATTGGCTATAGGGTTAGAGTTGTTCTTCTGGGTTTTAAGATTGATGGGATCAAGTCAAATACCCCTTAAACTCTAACTGAAAGTATTTGTATAAACTCATGATATATTTTATTTTGGAAAAATAAAACATATTTTCTAGCTTTGTGCACTGAAAAGGTCTGGAAACAACGACCAACCCATTAATAATGAGTGCTTTTAATGCCCAGATTGTGGTCTCTATGGACCAGTTCCCCTTAAATGCAACCAGGGCTCCTTGGAGATATGACTGATTCTGGGTCTGGGGCAGCCATAATATCTTGTCATGTCAAAAGAAAGGAAGCTATCAAAGATCACTAGAGTCATGTCAAAAGAACACAGGAGTTAGTTAAGCTAAGTTCCCATTAGTCAAAGATGAGACCATTTGAACAGAAACAATAACTTAATGCATGGAAACATGCAAAATATGTTTGTATTCATGAGTTCATTAGGATAAGTAAAAAAACAGGCAAACAAACAAAATGTCTCTTTGATTGCTCGGGATGCTAGGGAACCAAGTCATTATTTTGAAAATGGATTAATAGACAGATTCAAGCATTTATCCTGACTTTTCTGTATAAACTCTACCTTAGAGTATTCAAATAGTTGATGAGAGAAAGTCTCTTTTTATTGAATTAAGCCAGGTAATATGTGAAGAAGGAACGATAGATTTAGGAATTACCATTTTGTAACCTCTGCTAAAACAACAGATCTAGGGATGATCATTGATGGCTACTTACTGACCAAAGGTGAAGCCTCCTGATGAAAGTACACAACCACCATACAAATCTAGCCAAGGTGACTTAAAAATACATAAGGAGCAGAAAAGCATGTTCAACCTTGGGAATGCAACCAGCTAAATCTGGACTTGGGAAATGAGTGGTGCTACTGAACACGGGTCAATAGACCAGCATCAGCATCATTTGGGAGGTTGTTAGAAATGCAAATTCTCAGGCCCTAGCTCGGACCTACGGAATCACACTCTCTGGAGATGGGCCCCAGGAATCTGCATTTTACATACCTACCAAGGGGCTGTTTTCCATACTAAAATGTGAGAAGCATTGATATACAGGACAAGCAACCTGGTTTCTCTAAGAAGTGAACTGCAGGAAAACTCAGAAGGGGGATTTCTGGATTCAAAAGAATTTTGAAAAATAGAAACATGCAGTGTTTAAAACTTATTGAGCTCCTGATTTGAACAACCTGTAACAATGTTTTACTATAGAAATGGAAAAATAGGAACATTGACTTGGTATTTACTATTAGGAAGCTATTGTTAATTTTTTAAAGCTATGATAGTTGTCTTGTGGTTATGTTTTAAAAGAGACCTAACCATATGTACTTAAGTATTTGTGCATGTAATGATGTCATATTTGAGATTTGTTTCCAAATAGTTATAGGGTGGGCAATGGGAAATAGGGTGGCTATAAGTGAAATAAGATTAGACATGACTTCATAATTATTGGGATTGGGTGCCAGTTATATGAGAGTTCATCATACTACTCTCTCTTCATTTAATGTTTTAATCTTTCCATAGTAAGGTGGTTTTTAAAAAAGACTAATTCAGAAAAATAGTGTATCAATCATAACAAAATGTTAACAACTGTTAAATTGGATTGATGGTTTGTTAGGGTCATTATTCAATGTTCTCCCTTCTTTTCTGTATGCTTCAAAATTATGTTCATAATTATTGATGTTTTGTTTATTGGAAAAAAATTTGAAATATGTTCTCCTGCCTAAAATGTGAACATCACTGTAGAAAACACTGACATATTTCCTTTCACCATTATTGATCCAATTTTTATGGGCAGAGATTACATATTAGAGGATTCCAGATGTTTATAGCTTATGCCTTGTTATCATTAATTAAAAAACTCAGGAAGTGAGGTCTCAGAGGCATTTCCCAGGGTCACAGTGCCATGAGTGGGGTCAATCCCATGTCAGTCTCTGTCCAGTTTTGTGCTCTTTCCACCCCTCCCCACTAGGACGTTTAAGAATGAAACCATTTTATCTAGCAGATTATTCATAATTCCTACAAAGTTGGAGATCCTTTTGGTGTCCTAGAGTATCAAGCATTCTGTTTGTGTATTTGTTAGCTGCTTTTAGTCTTTTAAAAATTATGTTATCACATACATACAGTAAGGTACACGCATGTTAAGTATACGGCTTCATGAGTTTTGCTCATGTTTGCAATGTTGGTACTGCAACCCAGATGAAGATATAGAACACTTCCAGCACCTTCACTCCTGTGTCCCTTCCTTGTCAAAACCATATCCCTATAGGTATCAACTACACTAATTTCTGTCATCACAGACACAGCTGACCTCGTAGTGGGTAGCTCTTTGTGTCTGGGTTCCTTCACTCATCTTTATGTCTGTGAGATTTGTCCATGTTATTGCGTGTGGCAATCATTTATTCTTTTTCATTGCTGCATATTCCATTGTATAAATACCTGAATTTATTTATTCATCCAACTATTTGATAGAGATTTGGGCTGCTTCCGATTTTTAACTGTTATGAATAAACCTGCAATGAACATTCTTATAAATGTCTTCTACAGACATATGCACACACTTTTCTTGGGTATAAACCCAGGAGTGGGTTTGCTGGGTCTTGGGATCAGCATATATTTACTTTCAGTGAGCAACTGCCAGACTCCAACACAAGTTGTACCAATTGTCACTCCTGCTGGGACAACATGAAAGCCCCAGGTGCTCCATATTCACAGGGACACTGGGGTTGCCACTGCTCAGCCATTCTGGGATCGCCCTGTCTTGGAAATCTCCTCAGAGGTGTCCTGTGTCCTTCTGCGGAATTAACTATTTACTATTTGGAACCTCTGCTGAAATAACAGATCCTTCCTCCTGTGGCTCTCAGCATTTTCTCCACATCTCTGCTGCAGTTCTTATCACCTTTAGCAGAAACATTTGTTTCCTGTTTGTGCCTCTTCATTAGGATCTGAATTCCCCAAGGCCAGGCGCAGTGTCCTATTCTTCTAAGGATTCCAGTGTTTACTCACAGGACCTGGCTTAAGCAATATTTGAGTGACTGAATCAATTAATTAATCAATCAGTATTCTTAAAAGCCAAAAGCCTACTTATTTACCTGATAGGAATTGGTATTACTAAACCCTTATATTCTTTGGATCATGAGAACTGTGTGTTACTTCCACAGCTGTAACACTAGGGATACTTTATTTTGCCTGAAATTCAGAGATCTCCCTGGGACTGGGGAATATTTTCCATCTCCAAGGCTTCACTTGCACTGGGCCTGGAGGTGCAAAGGAGCAGGACATGGTTGCCAGGAGGAAGCCACTGTGATTGGCACTCAGCTTAGATCACACAAATCTGTTTTAAAAAGTCCACCTCTCCCCCTCAGCCACCACATTGCCATGATCAGTGAAAACAGCATCTATATACCCTGCGTTTTTAACACTTGCCAAGACCAGCAATCTTCTCCATGTGGAGGCTTGAAGGGATGCAAATGGGTCTGCCTGGCGCTGGCCCTAGCTCTGCCTCCAGGAACTCAGCACTAACCTCATGGTCCAAGTGTATGCCCCGAGAGGAGCATGATGCTGGAGACACTGTTTTAAATTTCTCTAATAGACATGTCCACAGAAAGGGTTGACATTTGTGTAATGGTGGAGTGAGAATTCACCGCTAGGTTAAAATATCCTGAGTGCCTGTGGAGACAATTGTAACCACCATCAATTAAACCGAAAAGCCCATCTTTCGGACAAATATTTGGCTTTCATTGAACTTTCATAAAATGATTTCACCAGTGAACTGACATCTGTGACTTCGGTTGTGAGCGATTTATGAGCTTTTCTATATAGAGGGTGCCGCAGGACGAAAAGAAAAAAATAAGAGACTGAGCATTGAAAAAGTGGAGCTATGAGAGAGAGAGGGAAGAAATTGGGACAAATTTAAGCCTAGTCTCACCAGGGTTTCTTCAAGTCACACCAGCCGGGGGCTGAGAATGAGACTGCATTCCTTACTGCATTTTGCTGCCTTTATCTGGCTCTTTCCTGCTTTTCTTTTCTTTTCGAGACAGAGTCTTGCTCTGTCACGCAGGCTGGAGTTCAGTGGCACAATCTCGGCTCACTGCAAACTCTACCTCCTGGGTTCAAGCAATTCTTATGCCTCAGCCTCCAGAGTAGCTGGGATTACAGGTGCCCCCCACCATGCCTGGCTAATTTTTGAATTTTAATAAAGATGGAGTTTGCCATGTTGACCAGGCTGGTCTCAAACTCCTGGCCTCAAGTGATCTGCCCACCTCGGCCTCCCAAAATGCTAGGATTACAGGCATGAGCCGCAGTGCCCAGCCGCTCTCCTGCATTTTCTATACCAGCCCTGTGCCCACATATATATACCAGACTCAGCCCTTTACTTCCTGGTTGCCTCTAGGACAATCACATGTGTGCTTTTGCACAAATGCCCTTAACCTCCCCCCTCCCCGACCCCCAGCTCACACAGTCCTTAGCCCCATCTTTTTGAAGCTGCGCACAGGAAACCCTGGAAGGGCCAGATGGCCAGGGCCGGACTCTGACGCCAAACTGTGAGA